TTCTTTTTATTGATTCTGAACATTAACGGATATTTTGGATAGTGTGAAAAACAATACAGCAATAAGACGGAAATGGTGAAGAAATCACCAAACCTTCAAATCATTTTAAACAATTCTATAGTAGATAATAATTTACAAGACATAATAACATTCGTTTCTTCGCCGGCACTACTTCTCACCGTCAGAACTGAAAAACTATTAGATGAAACAATATGAAATTCATTAGGTTTTGAGTTATTTTATGTCAAAGTTGAGGATTTTATTTTGCACCACGTACTTCACTTTAGCGAAAACTATTAAAAAGAAAATTATGAATTTTTTTTCCAATCAAGTACTCGTAGGTTCTGTAACTCGTCTCACTTTCTATGAATTTCGTTATTATAAATTTAAAAATATTAGCTTTTTTCTAAATAAAAATCTAAACTTCATATTCTGTAACAAGTTGTTTGTTAAGTCTTTTAGAAAACACAGATTTAGAAGCAAGCAAACGAGAAAAAAAAATTTCCGAAATTTGTAAAAAATTTAAAGGGCATGTTCACATATTAAGAAGAAAAAAAACTATTTGAAGAATCGTGCTTGAAATTCATAAAGTTCCAAGAATTTTAGAAAGGTAATATTTATGAAACGCTAAAATACGCTTTTTCCAAATAAAAATTTAAAGTTCAAATTCAGCAACAAGTTGCTTGTTGAATCTTTTAGAAAGCACAGATTTAAGCAAACGGTAAAAAATTCTCCGGATTTTTTCAAAAATTTAAGGGGCTTGTTCACATATTAAAAAGAAAAAAGCTATACGAAGAATCGTGTTTGAAGTTCATACAGTTGCAAGAATTTTAGAAAGGTAATATTTATGAACCGCTAATATACACCGCAAGAAAATAATTAAAAAGTTATTACATTGAAAGCAACCTATGCGCTTCACAATAGTTATCGAAATAACATTGTATCAGAATGAAAATTCCTATAATTCCTGTCCCGCAGTTGTCTGATTGTTAATTTCCGGTTCCCAGTAGAACATCGAAGTAACGCATCGCGGTCAGTGTGCGGGTGGGTGACCACTTGGATCAGTCCCCGAAGGAATAGAGGGAGTGGGGTATCGGTCCTCGTAAAACTGTTCTACAGTAAAGTGATCGACTTCGCGCTTAGGTTGTCGAACTACCGAAACGGAGGTGCAATCTTACTCTGCAGAGTATCAAAATTGTGATGGTATGTCTTCGGATCATCCTCGGGGATGTTTCCCAGACTGTCGCCAAAAGTCCATTGTGCATCTCTAGAGCTAATGTAAATAAACAACAATCATATAATTCCTATGGAGTTTTTCTAATTTATTTTAATTTTTATCGCATACTATTTTATTTTGCAGCTGTTACAGTTTTCAGAAGTAAGCATTTTAAGAAAAAAAAATTTTCAAACTGTTAAGATGGAAAATCTTTACACCTGGTTGTCTAAAAAATGAATGACTGAAAGATACAATTTTTTTTTAAATTTTTTTTTGTTTAATATTATTATTTATTTATTGCTATTTGGCTGCTAAAGTTGTCATTTATAGTCAGGTTTAAGCAAAAACAATTATAACTGCAGTCGGACCTCTATTTAACGAAGTCGCTGAATCCCGATAAAAAGATTATTATATGGAAAATTCGTTAAATAGAAAATCACCATTTGAAATTCTTAAACAACACAAAACAAGTTTTAAATTCATAAATACTCGACATAATTAAAATAGCAATTGATACACCCTAATCTTATTATCGACTACCGAATTGTTTGAAATGATTTTAACATTTCATTTGGTGATATCTTCTTCCTCACAATGTATTGTTTTTATTTTTCCGTTAATGTTTCGATGATTGCAGCTTCAAAATCAATTAAATCATTAATCCTCGTAAATTTCGCTGTTCTCTCTTAGCTGTAACCACATTTTGTAAGTTCTTCTTCCGCGCTTACTAAGAATCCAGCATTAGCAAAACTGTTACGAGGAGTACGATATCATAGTTCCATGCTTTACTCTTATGCTTTTTCGCAAATTCATTTTTCCATCGATTCCTGTATAAAATGCAAACAAAAAGGGATTTTACAGCTTTCTCTAAAAGTTAGGTGGCTGCAAAAATCAATTCAAGGTCCCCATAAAATGCGTTGACAAGTTTAAAAATATATTGGGAAATATGGAAAGTGGATCTCTAAGAAAAGTTCGTAACATTTACTTAGCTATTTGGAAGTTATTTTACGAAGAAATTTCCAAAATGTTCTTGGTTCCTTCAAAAAAAATCGCAAAATAGAGAAATTCGCAAAATGGAAGTTCGTTAAATAGAAGTCCGACTGTAGTTTACTCAAACTGCAGTAATAAAGTTTTATTGCCATTGTTTTTAAAGAATTGATTTTAAAATGTTGCGTTTTTTTTCTTTTATTATTGTAATTATTTTCATTTTAATGCTAGTTTATGTGAAAAAATTGCTCAAAATGTTATAGTGGAAAATTATTAAGTGATTAAAACAAACCACCCATAGCAGAGCAAATTTGTGATGAATGAACAAATTGCCATTAGATTTCCTCTTCTCATGAATTTGGCAGCTATACTATAGTTTGTCTACGGTAAGAACACCCCCCTCCACAAAGTCTGATTCAGTCTGCTGCTATAGAAACAAGAATAGCGCATTTCAGAAAGGGTAGCTTCTCTTCACTCGAGAGCTAACACAATAGACCGAAGAAAGGGAATTTCTCTCGCCGACTTGATTCGAAACCTGTCCTAAGCTATGATCCCACACTTGAAATAGTTATACCTCGTTACCATAGTCACCGCCACGGGTCCAGACGAATGGCTAGGGGAGTTTTCCTTTAGACAAAGTATACCCATAGTTGGACAAAAGGTGGAACTGTAGCTTTGCTAATTCTATTGATGCTTAAGATGTAAATTAAAAGGAGAATAACTTTTTTAATCAGATTATCTTAAACAATAAGAAAACCTATGCATCCATTACATTTTTAGAACAATCCTATATTTCACGTTTAGGAAAATGGCATTTTGTCACATACATAAGTAGTAAAAAAATTATTTAAGGACACACTGTCAGAAATTTCTGGAAAAAAATAGAGATAACAATTTATTTAATTGTTATTCAAACAAAAGAGTCAAATAATGATAAATAAGATGGTAATAAAAGTGAGAGAAAAATTGTCCCAAACTAAATAAGCCACTTAGTATATATTATAGTCTGTCAATCTCATGACCGACAGGGCTCGAGTCCCAGCGTTGACACCACAATATTTCCTTTCAAAAAATAAACAATTTTTAGTGTGTCCTACACTATTATCTAATGAAAAGCCAGTTAAATATCTTTTTTGCATGCCACTTCTTAATGGTTAAAAAACCGTATAGTTTTGTATTTATGGTTTAATAACCATACTAGTTCGGAACGGTTTTAAATCCGTAAAGGTGAAAAATTTTCTTTACCGTAAACTTTGCGGTTAATTGGATGGACAGACTGCTGCCGGTTATTTTACCATACTTTTAGAATGAAAATTTTAACAGTGTAGATAAATAAAGTAAATTTTTTTTTTGTTAAAAAATTATAGCATGGTTACATACTTGACATTTTTGGACATGCATCAAAATACTTAATTGCTTTTTCTAATGAATCATTACTTGTTTAAAGAATTATCTAAAGAATTAAAAACACTTTACTGCGTGGTCATATTTAATCTTTACGCTACTTACATTTTTAACACACATTTTTTTTCTAATTTTTCTTTTATTTTTATTTATTTATTTTATTTTACTTATTTTTTATTTATTTATTTTATTTTACTTATTTTTTATTTATTTATTTTATTTTACTTATTTTTTACTTATTTATTCATTTATTTATTTTTTTTGTTCCCACATTGGCTCTGTTAAACTTCATAAATGTGTAAAATCGGCCCTAAAAATATATTTTTAAAAAAACTTTTGAAATAATTTATGATAATTTCTGTCACAAAACAGAATTATAAATTAACTTTGAAATTTTTACTGTGAATTTCATTTAAAATCTATAAAATAAAATACCCGGAAACTAATACTTTTTGAATTAATAAAATATCCTGCTTAATATTGAATGAAAGGAGCTTTTAATGTCAACAACTCGAAAAAATGAACAACAAATTGTTTATTAAAATATAAGTATAAAAGGCATAAAAATATTTGTACAGCAGAGATGAGTATTGCACCATAAGCAGCGATTTATTTATGAATGTTTATCTGTATTTATTTAGAATTTATTTTATTCAAACATAATTAATCCATGTTTCAAGATAAAGTCACCAATGCAACCAAAAATAACTTATTATTCAGGATTTCAATCATACCACATTTATTTAAAAGTAATGCATTGTTCACCACCGGTTAGTTTTGTATTTGCCGCATTAAAATTAATGTAATCGCTGCATTATTTTATTTTATTTTTTTGCATTCAAAATTATTAAAAATCGCCTCTTGAAGTTATGAAACCTTAAATTTTGTTAATTGTTTGAATTTGTAATTTAGATTTATTAAAACTCGCCTCTTGAAGTTATGAAACCTTTAATTTTGTTAATGGTTTGAATTTGTAGAAATATTTTAATGTGAAATAAGCCTCTAGAAAAAAAAAAAAAAATGAAAGCAATTTCACTTTCTCTTCAACTTAGTCTGCCTAAAAGAAAAAAATACAAATTGCGACTACTTGTTTGACCGCTAACTTCTGGGGGCTACCTCTCATTCCTCCCCCAAGGTTTTTTAGTTAATGACGACCAGAAAAACAAATGTTAAGGTAAGTAAAATTTATGCCATCTATTTTCAATAAATCAAAATCGTTTTGTGTAGTAGAAACGAAATATTTTATGTTCTATCATTTGAATATAAGAAGCATCTTTTTTCTTTCGTTTTCTTTGGAACAATCAAAATTTTGAATTAACTGGTTTTTACACAGAAAGGGAGATAAAAAGAATGACTTTTTAACGAAACATTTATTATTAATTGAAATACTCACGATTTGCGGCCAAGAAACTTTGAAAGTGCGTGTATCATTTTAAATATACAAGATTCCAAAACCGTCTGCAAAGTTCATGAGAAAGTTCGATTCAGGTGGACAGAATGAAAGACGCTCAAACTAGAATGTTTTGCTCAACGCAGCGCCATCTGGATACATTAACTTTTATGAATGAAATAGTGACCAATCAGGATTGAACCGTTCTTCTAAACTTTGATACCTTTTTAGCGACCCCGAAAAATAAGAATGATTTTCATTATATATTATAAAAATATAATTGCTTTTAAAACAATCTCGTGGCTTTGTATTGTAAACCACATGAATCCCTTCTTAGTTCAAAATGAATAAGAAAAATTTAATTAAATCATAGATATAGGGGGAGGGAACAACGTATTCCCGCTCTTTGTTCGTAAAACTCTCCTTTTTATTCAATTTTGCAGGTTGTTTATGAATCCCATTTTTTTTTTATTATTATTATTTTTTTGTTAATTGTAAAATTGTTTTATAACTTTTGATTACTTGTATTTTTTATTGCTGTTTATTTATTTTTAACTTTATTTGCTATTTTAATTTTTTTTTTTCTCTTTTAAAGATGTTTAAGAAGTTCCGCTAAATTGCGTCTAAAATAAAATTCATGGCTTTTGTATTGTTAACCACATGAATCCCTTCTTAGTTCAAAATGAGTAAGAAAAGCGTGTTTATATCATAGTATGGTAGAGGAAGTACGCAGGAAAACAACGTATCTCCAATTTTTTTTTTTTTTTTTCGTAAATCTCTCCTTTTTACTCAATTTTGCAGTTTTTTTTTATGAATCCCATTATTTTTCGTTAATTGTAACATTGCTATATAACTTTCGATTACTTGCATTTTTTTATTGCTGTTTATTTATTTTTATCTTTATATATTATTTAAATGTTTTTTTCTTTTAAAGATGTTTAATAAGTTTAACGATAAATTATGTTATGAATTTAAAATAAATGTAAAAGCATTAAAGTGGTTAGATACAATTTAAAGAATTTTAAAGGAGAAACACAAGTTAGAAACAAAAATATTCTGCATTTTCTTCAGAAAAAATGAGCATAAAAATTAAGGGATTTTAGATTAAATACTCAACTAAATAGTAAATTATATTAAATAAAATGGATTTGATCTATGATAAAAGGAGAGAGAAATGAACAATCAAAATGTGCTTTATACATATATATATATGTATATATATATAACAATAAAAACAAAACCGAACTAAAAATGGAAACAAAAAGAACACGAAAGTAAGGTAATAGTAGATAATATCAAGCGCTAAAGCTGCTTTAAATATTATCACTATAACATAGCACAATAAAAACAAAGAGAAAAACGAAAATAATTAATAAGTTTTATTAACTGTGCATAAGCTGCAAGAATATAGAACTCATAAAAAAAGCTAAAAAATTGAGAAAAAAATAAAAAATAATGACAAAAGAAGAAAATTATTAACAATATTTTTCAAAACCATTTAAAAAAATAATTTTTAATTATCCAAAAAAAAATTTAAATTTGGAAATCAAAATAAGGAATATATATATATATATATATATATATATATACAGAGAGAGAGAGAGAGTTTAGGCTAAATTCTCCCTTCTCTCTCGGAACACTTTTGGTGATTTTATTTTTTTATTTATATCCGTCGTTGATCAGCCGACCTAATTTTTGGGTTTAAGGTTACTAATGCTCAACTCCGTAACCTTGTCATTTTGAGCCCAATCCAGAAGACAAGGGAACTCCTGGATTAAGTATTGGCAGACGTTTGCCTTCGTGGAAGAATTTTTGAAGAAACTAACCCGCATTTGCGTTACATGGAGAGGAAGACCACCAGAACCTCCCACGGTTAGCTTCACGGCAAAGTGACTCTAACCCCTGATCCGTCTACCACTGAAGATATTTCACGTCAGCACTGTAGTTGGTGCAAGCTGGGAGCGGATTCATATCGACCAGCCATCTCTGGGATTCGAACCCGGTTCACCTTATTATAAGGCGAACGCTCTATCCCCTGAGCCATCATGGCTCTACTTTAAGTGATTGCTATTTTTTGAAAGGGCGGGTCTTTTGAACACATGATTGCAGCAACAATTATTTAGTGATTGACTATTCCAGTATTTTCTGAGGTGTTGAAAGGGAGTGCTCAAAGGAAGGAAATATTGTATGTATCAATGCTCTAATTATTCTTATATGGTCTCTTTACTTCATTATGAATATCTCTGGATTCAGCGACTTATTTTCACAAACGTTCTTCCTCCAAATAATTCATTCAAGTCAATTTTTTCATCTTTTTTTGGCACCGGAGACACATTTCTCCCTTTACAAAATAGTTTAAATTCGATGCATCTTTGATGGCTCTGTATTTTGACTTATATTATGCCTCTTTTTTTTTTAAACACTTTTTAAAAAAAAGATCCTGTTTTTCCTTTGTATAAACCAAACCTGTATTTCCTTTTTTTATAAGCCAATGGGTTATAAGATGTTTCCTTGCCCATTGTCAGAACAAGAGTAACATAGAGACATAATCTTTTCACAAAAAGATTTAACAGTTTTCTATTTGAAAATAACCAAAAGTGAGGGATATTCAGCAGCTTACTTTCACAAATGAAACGAAATAATTGAATTCTTCAGTAGTAGCCGGTAAGTCATGGGAAAAGAAACAATTTTTTTTTATTTATTTATTATTATTTTTTTTTACGTCGATTAATTATTATAGTCGTGGAATAAACATCTTTTTCTTGAAACGGGGTACACATTTTTTCCCTTAAAAAATAGTTTGAATTACAAATTCGATGTATTTTTCATGTTTTGTTGTTGTCTCTGTGTTTTGACATTTGTTATGCCTCTTTTTTTAAGAAAAAAAAATAGATCCTGTTTTTTTTTCTTCTTCTTTTTGCTTTATAAACCAAACTTGCATTTCTTTTTTTTATCAGCCAATGGGTATAAGATGTTTCATTGCCCATTGTCCGAACGAGAGTAACTTAGAGACATAATCTTTTCACAAAAAGATTTAGCAGTTTTCTATTTGAAAATAACCAAAAGTGAGGGAGATTCAGCAGCTTACTTTCACAAACGAAACGAAATAATTGAATTCTTTAGTAATAGCCGGTAAGTCATGGGGAAAGAAACAATTTTTTTTTTTAATGAGTTCGGTTCGTCGGTTATCATAGTGGTGGAAAGAACATCGATTTATTGAAACGGGGTACACATTTTTTCCCTTAAGAAATAGTTTGAATTGCAAATTCGATTTATTTTTCATGTTTTATTGTTGTCTCTGTGTTTTGACATTTGTTATGCCTCTTTTTTTAAGAAAAAAAAATAGATCCTGTTTTTTTTCTTCTTCTTTTTGCTTTATAAACCAAACTTGCATTTCTTTTTTTTTTATCAGCCAATGGGTATAAGATGCTTCCTTGCCCGTTGTCCGAACGAGAGTAACTTAGAGACATAATCTTTTCACAAAAAGATCTAGCAGTTTTCTATTTGAAAATAACCAAAAGTGAGGGAGATTCAGCAGCTTACTTTCGCAAACGAAACGAAATAATTGAATTCTTTAGTAATAGCCGGTAAGTCATGGGGAAAGAAACAATTTTTTTTTTTTAATGAGTTCGGTTCGTCGGTTATTATAGTGGTGGAATAAACATCTTTTTCTTGAAACGGGGTACACATTTTTCCCTTAAAAAATAGTTTGAAAATCTAACAGTTTTCTATTTGACAAATAACCAGAAAAAAAATTGCTCAAAATTAAATTTTTTAGCATTTAAGTTTTAATATAAAAAATTATGCTTTTTTTGATTGAAATATAGTATGCATTAAAAAAATTCTAGAGTCCTATTATTTTTTTGATTTTGTATAAAAATACTTTTTCCTTTTACGAATTATACTATAAAAATATTAGTTCATCACATCATTAAATTGCAAAATAAAACTATCATGCTCAACTCTTGATTATAAATATATATTCAATGTGGCCTATCTGTATCTCAAATTGAATCATTGGCATTATTTAAAGATTCATAAAATAGTCATTTTTTAATGTTTAAGTGTAAAATGATTTTTAATTTGTGGAATTTCATAGTTTCAAGCATATTAATTGAATGTTTTTTTTTTATTTACTTATTTTTTAAACAAAAATTGCAATGTTTATCAAATTTGCTCAACAAGTTAATTTATTACTTGTTGGCGATTGTCAAAATCTCTGAAACTATAGAATTTCTAAATAAAATTATGGTAAATTAAAATTATTTTTAATATGCAAACATTAAGTTTTAATTTCTTGTTTCGTTTTTGGGTATTTTCAATGTTTACTATTTCAATGAATTGTGTAATATTTTCATTCATTTTAAAATTTATACCGTTAAATGAAAATATAATATTTTTAAATTAAAAATTTTATATTCGTTCCTAAATTTTTTACCATTTTACTTCCTTGAAATGTTCTTTAAATCATTACTTTTTTTTTGCTTTGTACTTCGACTTTCACTCGTTTCTTTTCAAAAGTAAAGTTCCCTTGTATGGTTGTCAATAGCGTAAAATTGTGTTGTTCAGATGTCGATAGTGTTTTTTAAAATCTTAACAAACTTTTCTAGTAACTTAATATTAAAAAAAAACGATAAATTTGATCAAATCTACATTTTATATGAGTTTGACAATAACATTTTCCCTCAAATCCGGTCAAATTCTGTCTTCAGTAACTTGCAAAACCGTCAAGTGACGTTTTTGAACAAGAACTCAGTTCCACTACGTAACAATAATGCAGGGTTCCCAAACACCCGGTTAATTGAAAAAAGGGGGGTGGTTTGTGGGTTTTTTTGCTTTTGTTTTTCTGGTTTTCGTGAGGAAAAAAAAATTTTTTTTTTTGACCGTATGACCGGGAAGCGATATTCCACTATGACTAACTCTGGGGCACTTCTTCGCCAAACTGCGCGATAACTGCTTAATTGTTATGCGCGCATATCTAGGGTTACNCTGTGGCAAACCTTCACTGTAAACAAGGAACATCGTCTTTTTAAACTTGATTATCGTTATGGAGATCTTTAAAAATAATTGCCTTAAAGAATTACACAAGTATTAAGAAGATTACTTTCAATTCTTTTTATTTAACTGAAACCATTGATTACT